TCATATGCTGATGACACACAGTTATATACATCTTACCCTAAACCTTTTTGCCATTTACCTCAGAAAAGGAAAATACCTTACTTCAGTTTTTTTCTCTTCCAAATTGGCTTCATTGCTTCTTGTTTCTCATAAACATCCTTTTTGTTATTGCAATCAGATCTCTTTTTTCAACAAGTGAGTCCCCCTGCTGGCCAGTACAAAGAATGCACCTTTGCACTTGCTTCATTTTGGAGACCTGTAGGGTTTGTGTCCACTGATGGTGTTCTTGTGCATGCAGCGTCCAATTCTTCAATTTAAGAACAATTCTTATCTGCACTTACTGTTGCTAGGTGACAGCTGTTTAACAAGAATTCCATTTCTATTGGTAGTGATGTTAAGATTTATTTTCAATTTCTCTGTATGTTTAAGATTTGCTTTTATTCAAGGACAGCTTATACTGAAGATGGTTACGCGTTTTGGATGCTGTGCACTGGAAACAGGTACTGCCAAAAAAGGCAATGAGTGGACACAGGCCTTTAGGGTATTTCACTTCTTTTATTAAACAGCTATGTTATATACTTGATTCTGATTGGCCAATCAAGCATAGCAAAGATCTGTTATTCCTCGATAGCAGACCAATGCTATGAAGAACAGATTGTTGTTAGGTACGCTTCTATTCACAGACTCTAGAGGACTAACTGTAGTCATATCACAGCTGCAGAAAAAAAGATTTGTTAAATTTGATGTCAGTCTGTTTAGTGTGGGAAAATGAGAAGAGAGGAAAAAAACAGATGAGAAAAGAGGTGAAAAAACTGCAGACGATGGCAAAGAAATCTAAAAAGCTGAAGATAGCACATGAAGTAAACATGTAAATTAACACGGTTTGGGACAGTGTTTAAAGATGGGGAATGGAAAAGAAAACATCAACAAACTCAGACACTGTCAAAACAGAAAAAGTTGTTCATGTTGTTATTCATGTTAACCTTTTCACCCTGTCTCACTTTACCACAGTGGAAAGGTCCAGTTAATAGTCAATAACAATTTTATGAATTCATTTTAAGAAGGCTACAGAAAGGGATACAGGATAGCCTAGCAGTCATGTCGCCATGTTCAGAGGCTGTAGTCCTCGTCGCAGTGATGTGAGTCCTGACCTCGGCCCTTTGCTGCATGTCATCCCTCCAATAAAGGGAAAAATGCCCCAAGAATATATCTTTAAAAAACAAAAAAAGGAGGCTACAGAATAAACCATTGTTATTGACGCAGCTCTCAGTGTGAGTCTGAGAGAGTATTTTTTAATCATAGAATTATGTAATCATCTTTAGATCAATCACATCTTTGTCATAACAACGGCTCTTGTTATCCCTTATACACTACATTGTCATAGCCAGATAAAAAGTAAAATGTCTTAAAAATGTTGTTCATTTTACAAGTTTATTATATATTCATATTAATATATGGGCAAAATAAAGATCAGTATGTTATACAACTTCAGTCCTAGAATGATGAAAGTCCATTTTCTTTGAGTACTTTCATCATCATCTTTAGCTAGCTGCATCTTTACAGGTCATCTAGTGCCAATCACTGGCAGTGTCTTCATATAGATCCATTGTGACAGGGTTTAAAAGATTTCACATTTACATAACACTTCATAAATATCTCCAAGACAGGGAGAGGAATGTCACGGCAATGACCTATACCCGATACCTTCGAGACCAAATATCCCTTTTGCTCAGAGACAACAAAAATGTTTGGACATGAAGGTCCATTATTATTGATCCACAATCAAATCCATCCAACAAAGAACCAAGTTATTTTTTTTACAGTGCTTTTTTTCTTATCAGGTTGAGTCTTATTTTAGCCCCTTTTTGATATTGTTAAGGTTTTCCAGGTGTCTGTAAAAATCTCCAAAAAAAACACTCAAGTATCTGATTAAACTTCTGGATGTTATCAAGCAAAAAGAAGAATTACAGATTGTTGACCGTTTTTATCATTGATATTGTGTCCTGTTATAAGCAGCTGATTTAGACCTGGAAAATGTACCCTCAAAAAATGCCAGGATTAGTCACTCCCTCATCATTGTTGATCTTAGAAGTCCCACCCCCTCTTTTGATTGGTTGTTGAGGTAGAGGTAGAGAGGAAATTGATTAGCAGATCAGTGATCCAAAAGTTATTTTATTCTTTAATTTACACAAAAGCCCTTCTAGGGACAAGTGTTGCAAATTAGCACCCACTATGAACATTATGATACTTGCATTTTTGGTCCCTCGTTTTTGTTGCCCACTGGGGTCAGACCATCCTTACTACACACTTTCTCTAATGAACACTTTTTTAAAAAGTTTTATTTTGGGGTCTTTTTGCCTTTTTTATTGGATAGGACAGCTGAAGAGAGACAGGACAGGTTAGGAGGAGAGAGTGGGGTGACATGCAGCAAAGGGCAGAGGTCAGACTTGGACCCACGGCCACTGTGACGAGGACAATAGCCTCCATACATGGGGCATCCAACATAACCGCTAGGCCATGCAGCTCCCCATGATCCTTTTTTTTTAGGTGTACGTTCAGTGAGTTTTTTTTAACTGTTTTTTCTTGTTTTTCTTGTACTCATTTTGTTATTTGAATTTAAAGCTACTTCCCTCTGCTGTCGTTTAAAATGATGCACCTCTGGTCTGTATGTAAATGTAAATACATTAAAACAGATTTCTCTGTTTGGATAATATCACACAGTGCACACATGTTGTGTGTTGACTTTCATACAAGGCCTTCAACAGTTCAAACCGTCACATGTTTGTCCCCTCAAACAACTGACACACATTCAATATTGCCATCTTGTTTGGCTTTTTTCACGAGTGTTGAACTCAAAGCCTCTGACGGACGGATAGAGCACACAACAACACAGCCAAAGTGTTATAACACCAGCAGGAGTAACTTTACCTCGTTTCTCAATCGCACTCTTTGCTTTGGAGAGCTGCCAAGTGTCATTCACCTGAAATGTGTGTAGATATGAACTCAAAACAAGAGTCATGTGTTGGGTTTGTGGGTACAGGGATGTGGAGACGGCACTTTAGAAGATCAGAAGTATTAACGGCAGGTTATCTGAAAGAAAGACAAGCATATTTAATCAACAAACTCTTCATGAATGCAAAGCTTTCTACAATCCAGTGGAGGAAGTGAACACAACATTTTTTTATTTTTACATCAAACACACACAATGCAATGTACACACATGGGGCCAAAGAGGCAACTGTGGAAATGTCGCAACTTCTCTGTACATCTTAGAAGCATACTAAGTTGAGTCTCTTTTGGGGCAGTAGCCTGGGAGGGGGGTTCATTAATTATATGAATTACCCTAATTTCTAAAATGTTTATTTTTTTTTAAATTTCTTTAATTCTTTTTTTCATTTTCTTTTCTCGCGCTCTCGTTCTCTCGCTCTCTTTTTTAATGGTCATTAAAGACCTCAAATTTTTTACATTTTGTACCGGTGATTATCTCTCTTTTGTTTTGTATCAAAATTAATACGAATGTCAATAAACTAAACATTTGAACACACACACACACACACACACACACACACACACACACACACACACACACACACACACACACACACACACACACACACACACACACACACACACACACACACACACACACACACACAAACAAAAGAATGTACAGTACAGGAGTAAATAGTACCTTCCACCTCTGCCTATAGGTCGGATGCATATAGAACTGACAAAGCTAAGAGTTACTACATCCCCAATCTTATCTTTTGTTTTTACTCATGTTACTTCCTGTAGTGCCCATAAAACACACTGATACTATCACTAAGACTGATATTTTTTATCATCCTGGGAATGCTGCAGTTTTTTTTAGATTAGATTAGATGAACTTTATGGTCCGTCCCAACAGTGACAAAGTTCTCCTTCGACAAGGCTCAAACAATAAACTCAACTTACTCAAAAATATATTTAAAAACACAAAGTACACACATTGAAAGTGGGCGACAACCAGTCATCCATTCACTCCAGGTGTACACACATACGTACGTTCTTTTACGATGAAGCACACAGAGCTTCTGGAGGAATCCCACAAAGTAAAAACACATGAGAAGAACAGGAGAGCCTCATAACATCATTTCTGGTCCAAACCAAACAACATGTAAATAACCTGATGAGGGACTTCCACCAAAAACTAAAGTTTAAGGACGAAAGCCCCACAGACATGTAGGAGTTTGGACATGTGGCACCCCCTAGTGGTGTAATAAATAAACACAAATGTATCAGATTCACAGAATTTATTCATATTAAACTCATAACCTGGTTCGATTAAGTTACCATCTTGTCTTTAAAAAAAACCCTGTATGCTTCCGTGGGAATCAGTTGAAGGGTTTTTTAAAAACTCAGTCAGCAGCCAGCAAATAGGCAGACAGGCCATGAAAACAAAAAATCAAAAGCACAATATGACAAGACAACAAAGGGTGTTTCACAATGCTGGTGTTGAAGAAGAGATTGGATCTTTGTAGAAAAAGAAGCATTACCAGAGTGCAAAAATACTGACCTGCATTTAAAAATGATGTTTCATGGGGCACTGGTGGCGCAGTAGTTAGAATGCGCGCCCCATGTATGGAGGCTGTGGTCCTCCAAGCAGACGGCCCAGGTTCAAATCTGACCTGTGGCTCCTTTCCCACATGTCATTCCCCACTCTCTCCCTGATTTCCAACTCTAACCACTGTCCTATCTCTCAAATAAAGGCACAAAATGCCCCAAAAAATAAAATAAATCATATTTTTCATTTCAAAAGTGTAAGCGTCAAAATGTACTTAAAAGTGCCACAAATGTATATATTTGGGTATCCAAATTTGGCAATCTCTAAATGCTGGCCTGGTTTGTAGAACAAAATGACTTATGGGTGCATCTGAGATTAAAGGGGTGTATGGGTCCCTCATGTGGTCTCCTGTGAGCAGACAGGTCATGTTTCATGAACATCCGATCCTGGATTTAATAAACACGATCTGAGTCACTTATCATTTGAAAGCCTTGATTATTTACCATTTTTATTTTTGTTTTGTCTATTCAATTGAGGGTGCAGAAATTTCAAATGAGGGTGCATTGCAACCTCTTGCACCCTCATAGAACCAGGCATGTCTGAATGCAGTAGAATAGTTATTTTGAAAATGATGTGGAGTAAAAGTTTAAAGTAGAAAAAAAAAAAAAACAGACTTCAGGTTAACCTTCCTGAAAAACAGCGTGAAAAGAACATTTTAGTGCAGTTTTGTTACTTTCCACCACGGCAAATTACAAGATGCTGGAATGAAAACTTTCAAGTAAACCCCAGCACACTGTCTAACTTGTAAATATAATTTTATTAGCAGTGTTTCAGTAGAAAACCTTCATCAAGCAGGTAGAACATCTTAGAAAGGAAGTGGTTTCACACTTGCAATCAATCATCCTGACAACAGATCTGACTGAGTAAAAAACAATATACCAGCTTCCTGACGGAGAGCACACATACACATATAGAGATAAATATCTATATGAGTTGTCAGAATTTTCCATATTCTTCTTAGTCTATTTGTGTAGGCCATACAGCCGACTGTTCGAAAGGTTTAGAGTTCAACAAAAGTTTACTTGGAAAAAGTTCAAAATAAGAGTAAGTACAATTTAAAAACAGGTCCAAAATTCAGTCAAAGGTCATTTACAAGAAAGTCACTAAGATAAAAGACTGGAGTGCTACTCACACAGCTTGTGTGAGGATGTGTGTGTGCGTGTGTGCAAGAAACAGTCATATGTTAAAGAAAATCACAGGTGTATTCTCATAAAACTAATCTAAATTACAACAATTATCAGTCAACAGGGCATAATTTTAACAACATTTACACAGGTTGGTCTTACACACAATATAGGGAAAAGACTTTCAGTGACGGAAACATTCACACTGACTTTAGATTAAGTAGGATAAAACAAGAGAAGAATCTTTCACTGAATTTGGCAACAGAGTCAACGGTGAAAGAACAATTCTAAACATGAAATAATTTTCCTCAAGGCATAAAGTAGAAGAAAGAACAAGATGAAGGAATGACCTTCAGAAGGAGTTTGTTCTTGAATGGATTTGCACATGCTGAATGATTTACCAACGTCAAGGAACTCAACATAGGGTCAGTATAATCATACATAAGCACCTTTAATAAGTAACTGTACTCCTAAAAACATTTCTCAACATTGTCCAAAGTGTGTGTGAACGCAAAGAGGCGTATTTGTGAACCCTGTTATTTATGCTGACCGTTTCTTTATAGCCCCTATAGATAAAAGTCAAAAGTGCACCAGAAACCATGGGTGAGCTAATGTGTGAATGCAGCTGTTAATAGGTGAAACATCCGCCATGAACTAAAATTCACCATACAGGAGAGAACGTGTAGAAGAGAGCTAACAATCTCAAATGAAACACAGTTACCAAAGGACCTAAGAGGCAGCTTAAAATACAACAGAATCGGCCTCGTTCAGAGAAGTTAATGTTTAAACCCAGAGGAGAAACATTGTCCTAGGTCGCAGAGTCTGCTGAAGACAATCCAAAGGAGATCAACACTATGAGAAACAATCAAATCATACATTAGTAACCACTTGTCAAACGACCTTGTAGTCAGAAAAAAAAAGTTAACCTAAAACTTTTTCTTTTTGCATATAAAACATACAAGAAGTGTTTTAAATCGAGTTAAACTACCCAACAGTTTATTTTATAAAAGTAATGCTGAATTAGAAAGCCATAAATTGGAAAATTATTCAACCATGTTTAAGACTTTTTGTTTGTTTCAGAGGTCCAGCTGCTTACATTTTGAAGATTGTGGCTTTCCTCTTTTACTATTTTCATCATTTTAATCGGATTTTATTCATTTCAATTATGACTATATGTTAACGTAGGGAATTGGTAACATTGGACTCTCGGTAAATTGAAGGGCATTTTTCACCATTGCTCAAATATTTATTGTATAATATATCAATAACAGTTACAGGGCCCATTTTTCTTAATTTGGTAGCATAACATATTTAACATGGCATATAGCATAACATATTTTTTGCATGTAGTTAACTTAACCAGATAACTTTGATAGCGCTTATACTTTTATAAAGAATCTGAATACTTGCCTTCACCTGACACTTTGGTTTGTTTTGATTCATTGCTCAAACGGCAATTGTTTTCATGAAACACAATTTACAAAGTTTGGTTTCAGTCAAGCGTTACTGATGAAAAAACTTGACCACTGATGAAGAGAACCATCACCCAGAGGATCACTGGGCACGCTCAGGACTACAGCTGTTTTTCCATTCTTAAAATGGTGACCATGGTCAGTTTTACAATCCAGCTGGGAGCGTGTGTTTCAGTATGTGAGAGGACAGTATTGAACCCCAGTTTCTTGTACAGAGCAATTGCAGCAGTCTGAGTTGAACTGGTCTCCAGCTCCACTTTGGAGAAACCTTGTTCTTTACAAAAGTCAACCACAGTCTGAGCCATCCTGACGCCCAGACCCATCCGTCTGCATGACTGTGAGATGATCATCCTGAACAGTTCCCCATGTTTCTCATTTCCACTTTGTTTGGCCAGTACAGCCACCATACCCACGATTTGAGGCCTCCCATCAACCTCAGCCTCAGCCACCAAGAAACAGTCGTCTGGTTTGCTCTGATAATTCCCAGGGATGTCCTGCATGTCTGTGCGGAGTTTCCCCTTGACAAAGCTAGCATACAGCTCATGACAACAGTAGTAGACAAGGCCCACCCAAACTCCAGGTAACACCAAGACACCTATGTTAGAGCCAAGGAGATAGCCAATGGCAAACAGGGCCAGGGTGACAGCACGGTGAAAAGGGCTGGTCATGGCGTTGTGAAAACATGGACTGATGTGCTCCTTGATGCCGATGCTGAACAGAGTGCGTACTGCGTCCTTGTCCAAGGGACGGAACGGGCGGATCACCAGCTGCATGACCTCAAAGAACTAGAAGACCAAAAATAAGGGTTCACATGTTGCATTAATAAGTCCTGAAGTTTTAAACTCTGTCAGTAATGCTTACTATTGGTTTAAATGCTCTCTTTTATTTCATTGTTTTGATGATACAAAGTTTGAAAGTCATAAAGCTGCCCCTCTCAATTTCCCAGCATTCAAGGTTGGGTCTTTACTCCCCTGTTAAATGTAAAAAATGATCAGAAAACCTGACACCTAAAAAGCAAGAACACATGAGTGTTTGGCAGGTTTGCTTAAAAACGTTGTATGTGACTAACTATTCTCTAGAAATCTATCTAACATCTCTACATATACATTAAAGCAACCATTATTTATCCTACAGCGGATACATTCACAGTGTTATCAAGTAGGCCTATACATTTGTCCAAGTGTGTGGTTGTAAAAATACAAGGTAATTGTGATGGGAGGGCTTTCCTCTTCTGGATGGTATTTTTCATACCATAGGTGATTTGAGGCCCTTTTAGTGATGCTTAAATTTCCTCACAGCACCCCTGTAATATCAGGTTCAAGTGCCCCATCAGATTTTAGAACTCTGACATGTATTTTGTAAACACCTTACATTTATATTCCATTTAGAATAAATGCAGTAATAATAATTACTACGTTTAAAGTATTAAATGAAAAATGTGCAACTCAAAATTGTATCTGAGTCCCAGTCAATATGCATACTAATTTACTTTCACCACTGGTACAGCTGATCTGTGGGAGGCAGGTAAAGTAAACAAGAGAAAAATCCTAATGATGCTGGCAACTACTTGATAATGACGACGACTTGCAAAATGCAATGCGTAAAAACAGCTTTATTCCATTTTTCATTCAAAGAAATCTAATGTATAGAAAATGATATCTTGCTGTTCAGTGAAATAGCCTAAGTGTTTTAGTGGTAGCATCAACCACTTGAACAGAAGCACAGTCTACAGGAGAGACTAAGACTCTTCTATGACTCTTCTATGACTCTTCTAAGACTCTTCTAAGACTCTTCTATGACTCTTCTAAGACTCTTCTATGACTCTTCTAAGACTCTTCTATGACTCTTCTATGACTCTTCTAAGACTCTTCTAAGACTCTTCTATGACTCTTCTAAGACTCTTCTATGACTGTGATTTTAGGTTCTGAAACTCAGGGGTGCTCAGCTCCGGAAGAGATTATTACATGTATTAGCAGGTTTGGTGTTAAAATGAGTCTCCACTGCTAGCCGATAAGCACTGTCACCCAATGATATCCACATTATTGTGAACGTTATTATTTTACTACAGATGGTCCGTCTCTAACGTTACAACAAACTTTACATTAGTTAGTCACCATAGTTACTGCTGTAGTACAGTGCAGGCCTGCAGATAACCTGCAAACTCGTAATGTTACGATACCAGAAACCTCTTTTGTGAACTAAATTCATTAAGCCGACAAACACACAGAAACAATGTAAGCGTAATGTGTCGGCTAACTTTGGATACGTTCATGTTTTATAATCACATTCCTTTGGAAAGTGACCCTCGGTATCTTACCTTTTAGATATCTGGATAACTTGTTAACTCGTCCTTAAGGATATGCAGCCAGACAACTAAATAATGAATGATCTGTGAACAAACGCTATGTTTTTTGTTGGGCTATCAAGAGAGGGTCAGAGGGACAAAGTAGTCGACTGACTCGAGTGTAGGTGTAGCCTAATGCTGCCTTCATGTGCTCCTCGGAAATATCGTGTTTACCCACCCACAACTCTCTGTTTATGAGGTATGAGCCAGGTGGTTATGAGCACATGAACGGCCCTCTGCAGTCTTGTAGCCTACCATTGGAAAAATGTCGATTACTTCCAAGTAAGAGTTGAGAGTTTTGCATGACATTTCAAGGCAGCAAAAAATAGGGAAATCTTTGAACAATTGAAGGCAATTTTTTTTTTTTTTTTTGTTATCTCTGTTGGTAGTAGCCATCATTTATTTTAAGTAGGCTAGTTGCAAATGTTTGTTTAATAGCTGTAGCAAGCACGCAAACTTAACTATAAAGCATGCCACAATGTTTACCCGAAGCACAGTCCGTGTTCTTCATTTTGCTGCTGAAGCACACAAAGCAGGTACGTGCTACTTGCTTTTGGTAATTAGTAGGGCTGTCAAGATTAACTTGTTAATCGTTTAAACAAATCTGAAATTAATATATTCATTTTTAAAGTGTAATAAAACCACATGCTATTTTGTCCCTTTAGGCGCACCATGGATAAACCTCTGCAGTGTCTCCCTGTAGTCACAGTGATGAAAAAGAATGACACTGCTGCGTCTTTAAATGGCTCATCTCATCTCTCTCAAAAAAAACAAAAAACCAAGTCAGTTGTCTGTCAAAAGTATTTACAGTCTATGGTCAAAAGTAATATCCAACTTACAACATCAAACATTTCACTTTACCATTCCTTTTTTCCTTTTTTTATTTTTTTTATTTTGTTTGGGGGGGGGGATTCTGGAAATAGCTCTTTCCCACAATTATGTAACTGTATTCTATTCTCATTTTCTATTTACTAATAAGTTCTCTCTGTTTTAAAAAATCAGTATTTAATTCATGGCTACAAAAAAACAACTGCCCTAAGCAGAAACAGGCCTTCTCTACAGCATGTGTCAGGAAATTCTCACTTCCTCCATGCCCCGAAACTACCTTTAAATAAAACACATTTCAGACAGTACACTTTTTTGATGCTGTTTTACAGACAGATATAAAATTGTCATTTTCATGTATTAAATTGTAGAGCATACTGTACAGAGAGTATTTCATCCAGCCTTGCTAAAAGACTGACAGCCGTGGAAATTGTACACATAGATGCTGATGACAAACTGAAGGTTTTTACTGATCAAAATACAAACCTAAATGCAAAACTAAACAGAAAAGCTCAGGCAATTTAGAAGAAAAAGTAGTTAGTTAGGTAAAACTCTGTAAACCACAAAAGTACAAATATAGATGATAACACAAAAACATTTTATACTGAATTTCAAGAATACACATATAATACAATAAAATAAAAACATCCTGATGAGTCAAAGAAAATGTATCACTCATGGTATTTTACAATGAGCTCAGATATTCAAACAGACACAGTAAGACAAGTTTTTGTATAAATGTCACTAATTTTTCACCACACTGTTTCAGATACTCAAATTGTTGTCAGTCGACTGGTTCGTCTGTGGTTCTTGATTTTCTTCTCCACGAGAAATAATCCGTCTCCAGATCTTCAGGTACGCCTTCTTGATCTTTTCTATCTTGAATGCATACACAACTGGGTTTACAGCTGAGTTTGCTTGAGAAAGCAGGATGCCAACATAGAATGTGGTGCCTGGTACATGAGTCTTCTTATCAAAGTGAGCAATGCAGTTCATGATGTGGAGAGGGAGCCAGGACAGGGCAAACAGAGCCAGGACCAGAGACAGAGATAGTGCCAGCTCTTTCTCTTTCTTAAGGTAGTTCTGAGACTGTTGTTGGGTACCGTTGCCTGGTCTCTCTCGGAGGTTTCCTCTGATCGCACAGAAGACGTAGCCGTACAGTGCAGTCATCACCAACAGAGGTGTCAGGGTGCACAGAAAAAAGTTGAAGTAAACCAGATAGGACATGGGGATAACAGCTGTAAACTGGCAGGTCAAAGTAGAGTTGACTGTCTTAGATAATGTTTCATGGTTATGCCATCCAAGCATGGGAGCAAAACTTAGTGGTATTGCAACAAGCCAGCATGCTGCTACCACAAGTCTGGAATGTCTCGGTGTTACTGTTCTTTTGTACCTAAAAAGAAAAGCAGTAATGACCGGTATGATTAACAAATTCACAACGATTCGGTATAATTAACTCTTCACAAAAATTTGGACTCAAGAAGCATCAGTACATCAGAAAAATCTTACCTAAGAGGGATGTACACCCGGAGGAATCTATCCACTGTGATAGCGACAAGACACATAACAGATACCACGGTGAACAGGATCTCCACACAGCTGAGGAAGAGGCAAACGTGAAATGAAGTCTTCACTCGTCCGTCCACCACAACTGCCACCGGAATGGACACACAGCCGACCATTAAGTCAGCCACAGCCAGAGACACAATCAGGCAGAAGGTAGGCTGCTTAATGCACTTACTGGTCCAAAGTGCCAAAATCACCAACACATTACCAAGACAGCAGCAAACAGCGATGAGCACCTCCATTAATGTGTAGATCACTGCTGCTACATCCATTGTGCTTCCAATCCAGCAAATGATTTATTATTACTTGTGTTGCGCGTCTGTGAGTAGGTCTGAGCCTGAATCGGAAAACTTTGAGGAAGTCCTCAGCCCCCTTATCACTTTTAAGACCTGAAACCTCTTTCAGCAGTGGTAAAAACCTCTTTCAGCAGTGGTAAATATTAGTCATTTAAACAAAAGCTATCTAGCCAAACCAGGGAAAGCCACAAAACCACATCCGTTAGAAGACAACTGCACCTCCAAACAGAACTCATTGTTCTTAAAAGGGCTGAACTGATGCAGATGATGTTTATGCAGACTTGGATGCATATTGCAAATTAAATGTTTGTGCACCATGCACCTTTATCCCCCATTACAGGACATGGGTTTTGTTCAGTGAGGCACCAAAAATGTCCTACATGTCCTATGAGTACTTTGGCAAGACAGTTAACCCCAGGTTGCTCCTGCTGATTCAGCAGCATGTGAATGTGTATGAATGATATTAATACTGATGGACTGCTTTACATAGCAACCTCTTCCATCAGTCAGTGAATGGGTGTGAACCTGGGGTGTAAAAGCACTGGTCAGAAACCAGAAAAGCGCTATACAAGCTCAAGTCCATTTAACAATATGTTAAAAGGATGAGACTACTTACACAGAATATAAATAAAGAGGTAAAATGTATGGCTTTGTCCACTTGGGTGGCCAACATAGACACAAATGGAAGGTCCTCACAGAAGCTTTAATGAGTTTCACTTTAACATTATAGATTAATTACAAGCCATTTTCAAGAAGGGTTTTTTTGGTTGCATTGCTGTTGACTCTTCATTTGTCCTCTTAGTTAGCTCTTTGAATCAACAAAAATCCTTGCAAACCCTTTGATCTTCCTGCCTCTCTTTACTATATACCAACTCCACTTTTAAGGTGTACATCATAATCATAATACCTGTTTAACACAGGCACATAAGCAGTGTCAGTGTTTTGCTCAAAGCACTGCTGCTACTCAGGGTGTCAGTGCTTTTATGGCTGTAGACTTTGATCCTGGGCAAATCACCATATTACCGCAGACCTACGTACTGATTTTATACAGTATACATTATGCTGTTGTACACAGTCATAAGTATTCAGAGAAATCAACTTTCATCTTCTACTTTCAAATTGAACTGCTTATAAACCTTCAAAATAAAACTCATCTTCATTTTTTCCACTTTCATTTTATTACATCTATCTGAAGCCTCATTCACAATTTATTATAAGTGTGAACAGCTCTTTTATCTCATTTTGCATTGTATTGTGGTGCACAAACAACACTCAAAAGTAAACTGTTTCTTTCCATGCACAGCGTGATTACGTATTATTTTGCCATCTGACCATACCGGGACTCGGAAAGTATTGATGTGCACATCAAACTCTTATGAAACCTCAAAGTAAACAGCAAACACAAGCCCTCACTGAGTCCCTTCTCAATATTTTGGGGACTGCATGTTACTTTGATAAGTAAACAGTGGCAAAAGTGGCACTGTTCCCTTGAAGAAAGGGGAGGGTAGATAAGGCAAGAAAATAATTGGTGGATTAATATCAATATAAAAGAAACCTGAGAGAGAGAAAGAGCAGCATTCGAGCCATGATGAAGACTTTGTGTGTTGGTTTTGTTGTCGTCCTGAGTCTCACCTCAGTGTGCAAGCCTCTGCCATTGGTCGGTGAAAGGTCAGAGGATCAAAGTCTAGATGTAAGTCTGTTCACATTTACAACTAACATTATATAGTCTAAGATGTTTCATTGTACAAAAAGCTAGTGAACTCATTATCTATTTGTGCTGTTTCTCTTTCCTGACACGTGTTTTGGTCAAATACATTCACAAATTAGGGTTTTAGATTATTTCCAAACACATACAAAGTAAACAAATCAAAATAATTCTTGTGTTTTGATGATTCCAGCTGACTGGTTATTGGTATGCCATTGCTGTTGCCTCTGATGTCTGTTGGCTTAAGACATTTTTTGGTTCTTCTCTTAAACCAAGTTTTTCACTTGGTTTTTTAAGGGGCACACCAAACCTTTATGCTACCACCATCAGGATGAAATGGTAAACATCATTTAACTTATTGTGGCAGGCAAGAATTCCATCGTCATCATACACTTCCTGTGCAGTTGGTTATGGGCTAATAATGTTTTTAAATCCTTTTCAGGTATGGACTTTGCCTCCAAAGAACACAAACGTTTTTTGAGAAACAACCAAACGTTTGCTGTTGACAGAAACAGTAAGAATTTTGTTTAACTGTTTTCATCCATGTTAAATTGTTTGTCTCTTTTTCTATAATATATCTATATTAACTAATGAATTGATTTCAAGCTTTGATTGTCACTGTCTGTCAGTATTTGACCACCACCCTTATGTAAATAAGGATGTTTTTACTTTCAACACTTGTATGTGTACAAATGTAGTATTGATATGATTATGATACTATTTTTTTTAAATATGAATAATTTAACGTATATATTTTTTTACCACCCACACTATTCAATGTTCCCAACAGATGACACAATTGGAATGCCGGGATCAACTGTGCTGCTGCAAATTGGCTGTCCTGACTGCATAGTTTTAAAATATGAAGACTTCTCAAACACTTTGCTTCTCCTCAGTAAGGTATATATATATATATATATATATATATATATATATATATTGGTTTTATAATGCTTTTTACAATCACAATACTGGTGACTTGGCTTAGTATGACCTTAATACTCACTGCAAACTACCCGAGCTCTCTTTGCCTTACTTAAGAGTGTTTATGAACTCTTTCCATTTGGACCTTCCTCTAATGATACTTCAGATTGATAAGTAAGGCATCATTACAGATTGTGCATTTTATGCAGGACCAGGGCAATATCTGACAGCTTCAGTTTAAATATCAAGCTAGTTTGAGTCCAGAGATCGAGATGTGTGCTGTTCCAGGTGGAATTTGATAGATGTATCTAGACAGAGTGGGAAAGAGGCAGTTGAGTTAATAAATACAGGTAAAGGGGAACAAGTGTGCAAACTTCACATTAAAACAGGTAAAGCATATTCTTAACAGCTGGGACAAGAATAACTGAGTAATTAGAGCGGTCTTCCTCTTCGTCTGTGATTTGATAGGCAGTTGGCAAACCAGCAAAAAGGTGTGGCAGTGTTGAAGCCCAGTTTTTATAGCAGAGTTGATTTAAGATGGTTTGCAGCTGCAGCACAACTCATACACACCTGATCCCACTCCTGCAGTCACACACACACACACACAGACACAGTACACATTTTTGTGTACTTTTACTCTTTAGAAAAACACCCTGGTAATTCCGTTAACTATAAGAGGTCCATTGGTTAGGATGGGTTGGGATGGGATTTTGTAGGAGGGGAGTTTATCAAGGAAAGGGGGAACGTTTGTGAAAAGAAAAACAATAACTAAATTATATCTTTACTGTGGGCTTGCTTTATTTAAAAAGAAGAAAAAAAGAATAGTATTACACATCTTTCATCTGAAATGTGTCACTTCTTCCCCAGGTAGGAGAACAAATATCACTGCTACTCAGCTGAAGGAGTTTAGGAAACAGGCAGCATATTACGGCTTGCCAAACCCTAATTTGATCAGCTCAGATCATGGTAAGACTTAAAAATTATATACGTATTATTCATGTATAGAAAGATGACTTCACAGTCAGTATACCAAAACAAAGTATCCCATTCCCCTCTGTGTCATATGTGATGCATGTCCTGTTATGAATTAATTTTATGTACATTGCAAAATAAAATAATGTTATATTTATATTCACTTTTTTCTCATTTTCTTTTTTCGCTTCCTGCACAGACTACAAAAATTGCACTCAAATGTTACCTGACACACCTGAACCAGATTTCCTGCTTCAGGAGTACAATCCCTGGAAAGGTTGGCAATCGAGTATACAGAGTGTGTTCTTGAGAGATTTCCTCAATATTCCAGAGATACCTTTGATTGGCTTCAGCATTTTCAAAGGTCTGCTGGAGGACTGCACTAAAGCATCACTGTAAAAGATGTTCTACAATTCACTTAGCAAATGCTTTTGTCCAAAGAGTAAGTACAACAGTAATCCATTCATACACCTCCACCAAAGCAGCGGGGATTGAACCCTCAATCTTCCAGTTGAGAGGCAACGACTCTACCAACTGAACCATAGCCGCTGATGTCATTTCATAGGTCATGTCTCGCAAAAAGCATACAAACTATTTCATTAAATCTACTTATTTTTCAATGATTATAAGCAAATAAATTAATAAAGAGCAATAACGTGTGATTATTTCTTTGTATGATACGTCATGATTGCTAAGCCCTATCAGCTTTAATCCTTTTAATGCAACTGTCATAAGAATCTGGTACAGTGGACCTTAGGCAATATTCAGTCCCTTATAAAAAGTACAGTCTTGACCTGATCAATTTATTAAGTGTCTTTAGATTCGGTTATTAGACTTATTATTTGACTTAGCTTTACTTGGACATCCAATGCCCCTGATTCCTGTTACCTTATTTAAAAAATTCAGTTGCAGACAAATTGATTTATAGTCAATAAAAAAGTACAAAATTTGGCACAATTACAGGCCTTCTTACAGACAAGGCTCATTGTTTTTATCAAAGAGTTACAGCATTTTAAACACTAATATAACAGATATCAAATATATCCTAAATATAGCCAATATTGGTGTGTAATTCCTTCCTTTCTTTCTCTATGGGCTTGTTTCTCAGCTCTAGTGTGTTGAAACAGGATGGCCCTTCCTTCAGCTTGTTCATGTTTTGCTCAGAGGCTCAAACATGTTTCATTCTCGTTACCCCCCCCCCCCCCGTCTGCCACCATGTGGGGAAAGAGAGATGGCCCTGCCAACTCAGAGACGCTGTTAGATGCATAATGACAGAGTTTTGTTGCAAGGGTACAATTGATCCAACCTATTTTGGTTTAAACAGCCTTCTTCAAATAAATAACAGGACAGTGAACTGAGGGACAGCTTTGTTTTGGTTTGAGGGACTGTTGCTTAAGTGCGACATTCAGCCTACTGCACATCTACTCTTAAAGTAGCATATAAGGCTATGTAATATAAAGACATAGCCATACATGGTGTAGACGGTGCTGTGTGCGTCGCATGCAAAGTCGGTGTAGGCCTAAAATGTAAGAATTATTCATTTAATCTTGTATGTTAATATTTCCAAATAAAATATATTCAAAGAAAAGTCCTTGCAATGGGATGCTGTACTGACCTAATTAAAAAAATAATAAAGTTGATTGAATGCCTACCTCGATTGTGAATATTCCCAAACAAATGAAGGCTATACAGTAGGACTAGGCTACTAGCTTACATAAAGTTGACACCACATATAAGCAGTGTTTGCTAGCACCTTGGTATGTAGGGTTATAACTTCTGCTTTGACATTTTTCATGTAATATAAAGACATAGCCATACATGGTGTAAACGGTGCTGTGTGTGTCGCATGCAAAGTCGGTGTAAAATGTAAGAATTATTCATTTAATCTTGTATGTTAATATTTCCAAATAAAATATATTCAAAGAAAAGTCCTTGCAATGTGATGCTGTATTGACCTAATATAAAAAAAAAAAAATATATATATATATATATATATATATTGTTTAAAAAAAAAAAAGTATTAAAAAGCAATTGAAACTACCAATTTCTGAATAAATAAATAAAAAAACTTCGAGCAGCAGCAAAAGCTCTTCAAACGTTTCAGTAGGGGATCAGAGGTTGTGCGGCTGACGCCGAGCTTTCGATACTATGTGGTTGCCTAGCAACGCCAACTTCGAATCAAAGATGGCAGCTGTTCGTTGAAAGGTATGTATAATATAACATACTTTTCATTAAAGTAGTAGTCTAGGCGCAATTATTAAAAAAAAAAAAAAAATTAAAGTGTTAAGAATGACAAAGCTTTCTTATTCGTTGTGTGTTTTGTTTACGTTAAAATAATATGGCGCCACTAACACCAAACAGACGGCTCTAGGACCCAGGTGCTCAGCGGGGTCCAGACACCGGTTGATGAGATGGTCCACTCCGCATTACACATTCAATTACTCGACAAAGAGCGGCTGTTCGCCCCGGTCAAAGTAGTGGGAGGTGAACTGACCAGACGGTGAAGGTGGTCTAACATCCACCGCAGCGAGAGCTTTTTTTTCGCCGTCTTTGTCCATCCGCAGCGTGGCAAGAAGATCAGTCGCTTGTCTCATCGGCGACAACCATGAGCCAGAGGTTCACCGTCTCCAAGAGCGACGGCAACCGGCGCCCCTCAGACATCCAGGGGGAGGTGAACCAGCTGTTTGAGGGAGACGAACCTCCATCCAACAGCGGAGCGGAGGGGGAGGATGCTGCTGGTGCTGAGGTCGTGGTGGTGCTGAAAGGTAGGGAGACACTCATGCCGGCTTTCATTCATCCTTAAACGCCGTTTGCCGTAGCTGTAGGCTGTATGCTAGCAATCCTCATGCTAGACTCTTTTTTTCATTGACAGCACATTGTCCGTGGACAGATGTGTGTGACTTGAATAATTAATGGCCACGTAGGGAACTGTCTGGAGAACAAATGGGCTCCTGCAGAACGCACAAAGGTCTCATTATGTCCACACTGTTTGCATTGTTACAGGTGCATTGCGCTAAATACTGGAAGTTGCATGCATGGACAGGTCGATATTGAAAAACAAAATGTTTTGCTCGGTTTCCAGCTGTAAATTTAGTTCATAATACTCCTACTGTTGCATACATTTAAGTTTGTCTTATTTTACTGCACACGTCAGCAGTGAGGGGCAACAGCTCACAGATGTCAGACAGCCAACACAGAAGGCAATGCTCGTCATGTCTCGATCTAAATTATTTGACCCTAACTTGTGACTTTTATCGATTTTTTGTTTAGTAGTTATGAATGCCTTTATATTTATTAAACCGAGATTTTGGTTTCTCATCATGTAGGAGGATGGAGAAAAAATATGTAGTTTGTCAAACCTTAATCTCTACAGTTAAATTATGGCAATTTTCTATATTGTCCTTGGAGTATTCAGTGCCTTGTCCTCTGGTAATCAGCTCCATTGTGGTTGTGTCCTGTCATCGACTCACCTGACTGAAATAATCAAGCTTCTGTCTGTCATTTTGTGATTTCAATGCAGCGGTGCACAAATGGTGGAAGACATTCCCATCTGGTCAGGAATGGAAAGTCTTCACTGTTACCGATGAATAGCATTAGATAAAGTGCAATCATTCACATCCAGTCAAGATTTATCAGCAAATGAATCAATAGGTTTATACTGTCTTACTTATGAAGGCTGCTATATTAATGGCATTGCAGGATAATTGCCATGGCTCCCTAGATTCCAATTAATTTATTGGAGCTCTAAATGTGCTGCCCCCGTAATTCCTCTGCTTTACTCTGAAGTCCACTAAGTAGTGAGCGATTCAATTTATCTTGTATGGCAAAAGATGTTGGAGCACACACTATAATGTACCAAATAGGGGAAATACTGTATTTCGTCACAAGAAGTCATTATTATTTTAGGTCTTTTCTTAAGCTGCATCCCTTCCTTCGATCCTTAAAACGTTATGGTATACTTAACCTTCTCACTGGATACATTACATTTCCCCTGGTCTTAACATCACTCCTGCTGTGTGATCATTCAGTTGTGCTGACAGATTTCCACTATTGAACTCTCTATCCACTGTAGCAAGAACTGAAAGCTTTTCATTACCCATCCAGCACTCTCCTTCACTGCTACATGTGGCTGCAGAAAGCCGCTGAGGTTCTAAACATGCCACCACCACCACCTCCTCCTGTGCAGGTGAATTAACAGAAATACTCCAAAGTGTGTCAATCATTTCTGTGGACATTAAAGATGCCTGTACAACATATAGGAACAACTCCAGCCTTTTATGTTACTCTGTAGTGATGGGGGACACTTTATTGAAGGCCTTCCCCTCTTGACGCTCTGCTCCAGCTGTGCTGTAGCCTTGTGGTGACTGATGTCTCTGCATCCACTCTGCTGGTTGCCATGGTGATGCAGAACATTTTTTTCCAGACATTAGTCTTGTAAATGGTCTGGCAATGAGGTGAAAACACTTGAGATCAATTAAGTACTATTATGAAATCACTCTCTTGCTGTGTGAATTGTCGTAGAACAAAAAGAAAAGAGGATTGTACCATGAGGTACAAGTCCATACAGTGGCTTTATCTTTAAATTGTTAATTAATTAATGTCATTGTTGTGTTTATTGGACGATTTAAAAAAAAAAATACTTCAATATTAGTAAAAATGTGACTCACACTTTACCACAGAGTTTAAGGTTTTATTTTTTAATACAGATTGTGTGTTAATGTTACCAGAAGTCCAAAAGTCAACAGATTCTGTTTTATATCACACAATACAAAGAGAGACACTAATATTCACAATTAGCTGAAACCGAAGAACATCTTAGACTCCTTTCCTGAAAAATAATAAAATAATTCACTCTTCTGTCAAAATTTGTTATGTTCCTAGTGACTAATTTCCCAGGTCTATGAAATCCTAAAGTTAAATTCAGACTCGTCAACTATTCTAAAGTTGAGAAAAAAACTCTGAAAACAGTTAACAATGAGCACAATTCACATTACAGTTTAAACAAACACAATGAAGGTGTCTGCAGGCAAACAATGTTAAAATGGTTTGACAAATGTGCCTCATATTAGCAGTAGAGCATTATGGCAGCATCGCAGTATCCATTAACCTGAGCTAGAGCCCCATCTGGCAGGCGGCTGCAGCCTAAATCAGCATTTGACCTGCAGCGCACTTCTGAATACAAAAAACTGTTGATATTTAGTTAAACCGACTTAGAATTCTGGTACTGACTAGGGAGGGTGACAACATTAAATAGTTTTGTTGGCTAACGTGTGCACATCAAACTGTTATTTAAAAAAAAATCCATAATCTGTGGAAATGGATGGAGGCAAACAACTGATCTTGTTAAGAGTGTGTGCATGTGTGGCTGTGAATGAGTTGGCTCAAACTGAAACAGATAAATCATATTCAACCTGTTGTGTGAATCTGTGTTGAAATGTCTGAAGCTGTCATTGTAACCATTACATCTTTGCCATTCTCTTATACTGCCTGATATTTGCAGTGTCTGCCAAAGCCCCTCTTAAGTGTTGTTCTGATTTAAGCTGCTGAGCTGAAGACATTTCCAATTTCTGCCCCCCCTGGCCTGATATCCTGATCCTGTTTCTATCGATCCAGAGGGAGGTGTGAGCTCAGGTGGCTCAGACAG